TTATTATTATTATTATATATTATACTATATAATTATATTATATTATAATTATATAATATAATATAATATAATATAATATAATATAATAATTATAATATAATATATAATATTATAGACTTTTATAAGGAATAATTAATGTGAATCTTTAGTGCGTATTGAAATAGTACATATTGTAAAGTCTTTTAGTTTAGAAAAGTTATTATTTTCACATATACTTACCGTTTTATTTAGCCGTGAACTTGCGCACTATTTGTACGACGATATCTGTTTTCTGCATATATGTTTATTTCTGTTTTCTGTAGCTGAATAGTGTACACTAGTGTACACTAGTGTACTTGTACTGCTTGCACTAGCTCCAGACCTAGTGCAGCCAGTTCAGTGAACCCGTGCACTGAGTTCTGTTGCACTGGAATAAAAAACAGTGTCGCTGACGCCATTTTGGAAACAGAAAACGCTTTAGTGTACACTTTTTGAACTAGTGCGACCAGTGCAGGAACAGAAAACAAACCTATTAACTGTTTGACATCCCGGCCCACCTTGAAAGGCCAACTTTCAAAATTAAATTTTTGTGATCCTGGAAGAAATTTTGTATATATTATTATAAGAGAAATGTAAGAATGATATAAGATAATAAAAATCGATTACTGATTAAATATAGCACGTTCTAACTTAGAATCCATTTCACCTTAGATCTCCTCATTAATCTCATTGTTCAATGGGAGAGCGCACAGTTTTCTTATAGGTCGTTTATATATTCCGTGTGCTGTTTTGACAGTGGCCACCCTGGCCACATGATCGTTTCCTTTAAGAAATTCCGTTCCCAAAGTCCATTTGCTAGGAGGATTTTGTTCGTCCATCAACAGAACCATTATACCTACTGTTAGAGAGGTTGCATCATGGTACCATTTGGTACGCATTTGCAGTTAATGCAAATACTCTTTTCGTCAACGTGACCAAAAGTGTTAACGAACTCGTTGCTGATGTTGCCAACGTGATAAAGTGTTAACAGACATGTTTAGTAAATTTCTCTGAGCAGTCTCGGTTTGTGATTCTCCGAGCAAAAAGTGAGCTGGCGTTAACACAGCCAAATCGTCAGGATGAGAGGATAACGGGATTAAAGGACGGGAATTCAAAACTGCTTCTATTTCTGTGAGTAATGTGCTGAACTCTTCATAAGTCATTATGAGGTTCCGCGTGACAGCATATGAATGTCTTTTTGTTACCTTAATGGCAGCCTCTCATAATCCTCCGAAATTTGGAGATCTGGGGGGGGTATGAACTTCCAGTCAATGTTTCTCAAGGCTAATCATGTTTTAATTTCATCTATTTGATTTTCTATAAAATCAAACATTGATAAATCTCCTTCAACTCTCTTGCTGCTCCAACGAAGTTTGTTGCATTATCCGAGTATAATGTAGTGCAAAGACCTCTTCTCGAAGTAAATCTCCGTAATGCTGCCAAAAATGCTTCTGTAGTTAGATCCGTAACGGCTTCTAAATGAACTGCTTTAGTGTGAAAACAGACGAACAATGCAATGTATCCTTTCGTTAAAGATATCCTACCTCTTCTTCTTCCTTTTCGAATTTGAATAGGTCCGGCGTAATCTATGCCACTAATAGCGAATGGCCTCACAGTTCCTTGTAATCGATCTTTAGGTAGATCTGCCATAACTGCCTCTAAGGGTTTAGGCTTAAGTCGAAAGCATTCTAGACACTGTCTAGTAACCTTACGCGCTTCCTGTCTGCCTAATAATGGCCAATATCGTAGTCTAATAGACGCCAAAAGTTGCTCTGGCCCGCAATGTAGTAACCTTTTGTGTTCTTCGCGGAGTATAAGAGTAGTTATATGATGTCTCGAAGGTAATACATTAAATACATATGGATGTTTTTGATCTATGTTGATCTCCGCATGGCGTATTCTGCCTCCCACACGGATCAATCCTTGTTCATCAAGGAACGGACGTAATGTAAGCAACTTGCTCTTGCGATAAATTTCTCTTCCATTTCGCAAATCTTCTATCTCTCTTTCGAATACTTGACGTTGCACTAGTCTGATTATGATAATGTTAGCTTGCTCCAATTCTTCAATCGATAAAGATCCTTTGCTTTTAATACTTCTTAGATTATTTATAAATCGCATACAGTACGCTATGATTCTTCTTAATTTAGCAGTAGATGAGAACTTATACAAAATATCGTGCATATCCGGTATAGCTACTAATGTAATCTCCCGTTTGGTTTCCGGCATGTCTTTTAAATCATAAACTTCTTGGATCGGCCTTTCAGAAGGCTGCACTAACCACAGAGGACCATGCCACCATAGATAGTTATCCCTTAATTCTTCAGTAGTCGTGCCTCTAGATAACAAATCCGTTGGATTGCTACTTGAGGGTACATGATCCCAATCTTTACTCGAAGTGTGTCTTTGAATATCAGCTACTCGGTTAGCCACATGTGTTTTCAATTTGTGGGGAGATGTCTTAATCCAACTTAATGTAATTGTAGAGTCAGTCCAAAAACTTACACTGTTAATTCTGTTAGACAATACATGATTTACACTGCTAAACAGCTTGGCTGCCAAATGTGCAGCGTTTAACCACAGTATATACAGTAGCGCAACTCTCCGTCGGCACCTTTGATGTTACCGTAGCCAAAATTGCACATGCGCGAGCGAGGCGCGTTACCAATCAGGGCACTCTATTCTATCTCACTTCTTCTCTCTGTTTATAACCTTTTCTCTCTTTCTAATTTGATCTAGCAATGTCCTGACCTAATTTGCAAATTTGAACATTTAATACGCGTACTAACAAGTAACTTTTATACAATTATCTTAATTTATTCCATTATTCACAGCGAATACAGAAAATCTATAGTTCTCGTTTACACTATACAGATTTTTAGTACTCACAGTGAAAAACGAGACGCATTTGAAAGAGAAAATGAAATAAAAATTAAACATATATGATGCACATTTATTTCTTAACACTATATTTTGCAATTAAATATACTCACAAAATATATTATTATTAACTAATTGTACAGCAATATTGTGTATGTATAGCATATATCTTGTATATATACGGAATTAGAACAGGAAGTCACAATAAAGTCAAAATGACATTAAAATGATTGAAAAATGACTTTTATTGGTCATTTTGGAATAATTTTAACATCATTTTGATACAATGATGACTTGTTTTGCTTGAATATATAATTAATGTGGTATTTCATATTTTGAAATATCATATGGCTCGAATAAAATTACTTATACTTATTATATTTTTTTCACATTGAATATAGTAACCGTAAATATTAGGAAATGCAAGAATACTCTCTCTCTTTCTCTCTCTCTCTCTCTCTCTCTCTCTCTCTCTCTCTCTCTCTC